TCTCTCTCTCTCTCTCTCTCTCTCTCTCTCTCTCTCTCTCTCTCTCTAAGAGATTCTTATTTTGCCTATGAGGTTTCCTGGGCGCCATCTGCTGGTATTCTGGGCAGTGTGACGAGTTCATTTTGCTTAAAATATATGAAAAACAAAACACTCATGAAGAGAACACCAGCGAGGGTGTTAGAATTAACTGATCCAGCTCTTGAGCTTGGGATGTCTGATATTCACTATTTCATTATCTTTAATGAAAATGTTGATGTTGGAGCGCTGTGAATTCCAATCACTGACTTGAACAGTTCTTTTAAAAATACCGTCCTTTTAAGAACAGTTCTTGTTATTTTTACCTTAGGCAACATTTCAAGTTAGATCTTTCGTGTAGACTCCAGGCACAACTGAAAAATGGCTAGAAGACAGGATTCTCAAAGTTTTCATCTTAAAGAAACAACCTTTGAAAACAGTTATGTCTAACTGGACTTAATCATTATGCATCATATGGTGCCTTATATGTACGGTTTTAAAGGAAAGGAAGCCATATTGTGTACATGCCTAACCTGTCCAGCAAAGAGAATAATCATTTTCCCTTTCCCCATTTTCTAGATAACACTCCTACAATGGCACAAATTTTGTTAGACTTTTCTAGTCTTGTAAGCATACATACACCAAATTAAAACTAAACTTCTACTCCCAATGAACCAATGGTTTGCAATTGAGTTCTACAGTTTCCACTCGGTACAGTCTTATTGCTTTCCTCACTGACCATTCAATGACAGCTTGGTCAACATCTAAGTCGGGGAAATCTATCTGTTGTCGATAAAGGTAATTAAAACCAAACAATACTGAAAGCCTTGTATGAGCGTGTCACTAACTATAAAGTCCAAAATACAATTGATTAGTGGCTGAGAAGTACTGAGTATATGAGTCTGTGATTCATGAGGAAGGACACAGTGATTTAGAGCTGTATCAGATGTCTCCCATTCCATTTTTTTTTTTTTTTTTTTTTTTTGGTTTTTTGAGACAGGGTCTCTCTGTGTAGCCCTGGCTGTCCTGGAACTCACTCTGTAGACCAGGCTGGCCTCGAACTCAGAAATCCGCCTGCCTCTGCCTCCCAAGTGCTGGGATTAAAGGCGTGCGCCACCATCGCCCGGCTTCCATTTTGTTTTTTTAATTATCATTTAATATTATTATATCTGAATTAAAATTATCCCAGTTGTCATCTGATCTAGGCACAGGTGTGGAGAGAGGGAATGAAAATCACGTGGATTGTTGTGGAATAAATGTCCAGTTGCTTGGCCCTCAGTGTGACAGCAGAGATTTTTATCTGTCCCTTGTCTGCTCTAAATCTTCAAAGGGCCAATTTTTACCCTTCATCCTTTTTGAGATTTTCAATTTATTCTACTTTTGTATGGGATATTAATACCCTCTATTTTTTGCCCATTCTGTAAAATTGTACTTGTTCTAGCTCTCATCTTAACCTTCCCTACTGTCTAGAATAAGTAAGCAGTACCTCTGTTACCTATGGTCCAGTCTCATTTGATAGTGTGGATAGTGATCCACACTATCAGTTCCAACACTATTGGTCCCTCTCTTCTATGACAACCTACCACTCTTAAAGGTCATCTTCCTCTGCATGCTTGTGACCATATTTCTACATTATAAAGAACCAAAGGCCATCATCTCAGGACTAGGAATTACAAGAGAATCATTGAGAATCAGCGCACATATCCAACATGGAGATACACATCTATACATAATTAAGAACAAAACAAGATTAAAAATACACTAAGCTACTCAACTCAGAATCTGGATATAATGTATTCTGTATTTCCCCTCAGTCTTCAAGACTGTCCACATCCCATCATTTCAAATGATCTTCCCAAGACATGGTCTAGACACTTATGACCTCAAAATGACCTTCTTGTTTTGTGGTCTCATTATCAGTAGCACTAGTCACCTGGGAACTTAGTAGAAATGTAAATTCTCAGGCTGACCAGCCACTAAAGCCAAAACTCCAGCATAGTGTTAAGGAATATTTAATACAATTCTCAGGAAGTCCTAAAGCTGAGTTTGAAAGCAACTGTTTCAGTGACCCCCCAAAAGCCTCTATACTCCTAACTTACATAAAGAAATAGGGAGTCATATTTCTGTTTGTTTGGAAGACTTCAAGTGACATTTCTGACTACGGGGTTAAAGTTTAACCTACCTACCTCTCTCTCTCTCTCTCTCTCTCTCTCTCTCTGTCTCTCTCTCTCTCTCTCTCGATTTTTCGAGACAGGGTTTCTCTGTGTAGTCCTGGCTGTCCTGGAAGTCACTCTGTAGACCAGGCTGGCCTTGAACTCAGAAATAAAGTTTAATCTCTTATTACAGCATACAAAGGCCACCCAGTTTTAGTTTTTCCCAACTAGTTTTCAGAAAATAGAGTCAATCAGGTCAGTAAGGCTGAATCAGCCATAAAGCAGTGACTTAAAAGCATGCGCTGTAGACTCCTATTTCATGAACTTCCAATCTCCCCTTAATCCTCTTTGCAACTGTACTGCCTCAGCTGAGTCACTGACAAGAGTACTAATGACTTCCATCTCAAAAACCTGCTGTACAATACACATTCCTGAAGTAGCCTAGACTTAGAGACAAGTAACTCCTGGTACTGTTTTTTGATCATCTGAAAAGGGAGGATGCGTTTTTCTCTTGCCCCCCCCCTTTTTTTAATTTGTTGTTGAGATTAAAAGACAGAATGGATGTCACTTATGTTTGTCTGATGACAGTTAATAAAGAGCTGCTAAGTGATCAGATGTGCGAGGTTTTGGATACCTGACCGTCACATACAGAAACAAAAGCTTTGGGCAAACATGACAATCAACTTTAACCTCCATTACAAATTAGTTATCTTCAGAAAATTAGTTCCTGCCTCTATCTCATAACCTATCACATTATAATGATAATTCTGCATATTTATAACACTACAGTGCAGGTGTGGGTTAAGTGCTGACACCTTTTAGCTCTTACTGCTACATATGCATAATTTTTAATGCATAGAAGTAGGCACCTCCAGAAACTCCTGCTTAAGTGATGTGATTATATAGCTAATCTTTTGTTTATAGCTTACAAAATTAGGAAAATTCTGTATCCATCCAAATGTCTCTAGTGTTCATGCCAATTTTCTCGAGGTATGAGTGGAATTACTTTTATTCAAATGCTCATTTTCTGTTGACATATGCTGGCAATATTGTTAGACTAAGGAAACTACCAAGGTGAATGAGGAATGGTACTTGTTCTTTATGGCATGACCAAATAAAGAAGGGGATGATCTTAATAACCCATGATTGAACACTGTATAGGAGCAAAGGTAAAATACCTGATTCAATTCTCACTCAGTTTTCACAGTCACACTTTTCCATTTCCTCTGAATTGCTTTATAGTCAGTATTTTTAATGTTTAGTTAACAGCCATTTACCAAAGGAGATGTGGCATTCACTTGTTTTGTTTCTTTGCTTTATTCTCATTGTAGAACAGAAACTAGAGAATCTTGGCTAGCTTAGTTCCTCACAGGGTGGTGGCTCATTATGACAGAAGATGAGTAGGGGTAACTTTCTATTTCATAGAGAGGACATTTTTATATTCTATATTGCAGAATCTCCATACTTTGATAATGTATCACATACAAACCAGTAAATAACAATAACGAACAACCTCCAGACCACCTCACATAAAAACTGTTAGTAGTTGCTTATTTCGGGTAATTTCTCTATGGCAGGTGGTGCCTGTTTGGTATCAACAGATGCTAACCAGACTCTGTTTGATGCAGTGTCTGGGTCTAGAAGTTCAGAGAATGAGGGGGAAATGCAAGAGGTGATGAGAGATACATAAATCTCAGAAACTGCCTGACTACCTGACCAGAGGGTAATGCTCCAGAATGAAAATTGCCTTTTTGCTTGAGTAGTTTAGGCTGCTTATTTCTCCCAAGGTGTCATCTCCCTGCTTTCTTAAGATGCCAGCAACTATAATAAGGTGGACCTTAAAGATATTTCCGGTTCCTGTAGCATTATGGGCCTGGTATTTCAGTCACCAGTTGTGCATCAGCTCTTTTTTCGGGTGTCACTTATCCACACTTGCTCTGAACACTCAATCTAAACCTTAACTTTTGCCGGGCGGTGGTGGCACACGCCTTTAATCCCAGCACTTGGGAGGCAGAGGCAGGCGGATTTCTGAGTTCGAGGCCAGCCTGGTCTACAGAGTGAGTTCCAGGACAGCCAGGGCTACACAAAAAAACCCTGTCTCGAAAAACCAAAAAAAAAAAAAAAAAAAAAAAAGAATTAAACTTAACTTTCCTCCACGCTTGACTATTTTCTAGCACTTATTACTAGACTACAAGCTCCAGGTGGGAAGAACCTTGACAGTCTAGGTCACTGATAGGTGAAATAGTGTTACACATACAGTAAGTGACAAAAAGAAAGCAGACAACAACAACAGCAACAAAACAAAAAAAACCCAATTTTCTTCTGAGACATCAAAAGGATCCTGGAAGACGAACAGGATCTCAGGGATTCTTCTCACGTCAGATGTGCTTGGACTTCTACGGTATAGTCAAAAGCCCAAGTACTGTTTCTGCTCTCTCAAAGTTGACATGACCATGATGCTAGCAGCTCTATGCTGTACTGTCGTGTTTCGGGGAGCCCCCACGTCCTTACAGTCCCCGTGAAGGATACAGGAGTTCCGGGTTGCAGGTGGAAGGCGATCCAACAGGTGACCCCCTCGACTCTTTCCCAGAAAAGCTTCTCCATTCAGTTCACTGTGCAGGTGAGTTTGAGGAAGCTCTATTCCAACTCTACCTGATACTAACCACTCCTTGTCACTCACACACGCCCCACCATCAGATAGTCACATCCTGAAGCTACTTTGAAAGCCGGCCTCGGGCCACCCCAGTGGCAAGGTGCCTCGGTATTCCCGCCCCCAAATACCCTTGGCCGAGGCTACTCGCGACCTTCCCGTGTGAGGACGCGGCGGGGCCGCAGGCTGGCTTCTCCACCGGCGGCTTGAACCCTCTCACCTGCCCACCAGCAGCTGCACGTCGCGGCCAGGCCGCCTTCGCAACCAGAAGCCAGAAACCGCGCTTGCACAGCCACCAGCCAAGCAGCGGAGCGCCACCACCTTTGCCCTGCGCGGCAAAAAGGCGCATGCGCAACTCCATGCGCACCCCCCCCACACACACCCTTCTTCCGGGGTTTGCGTGAAACTCCCGCAAGGAAAAACTGCGGCCTTCACCGGAAATCTTACGGGCCGACGTGTATTCTGTCTGTGAAAACTACCAAAACTGAAAAGGGTTAAAAACACATCACAGCACCAAGAAGATGACAGAGCTTGCGGCTCTCTGCTCTCTCGAAAGGTATTTGTAGAATGAATGAAGCGGTCACCATTCTTGGTGGGTATTCCTGCTCTGACCAATCACAAGGTGTCTTGTTTGTCAATTCCCACCTCTCTCAGGACCTTGTAAACTGTAAAAAAGTGACTCCGCCCTGCCGTCCCTGAATGACGTCGGAGATTGGGCATGCGCAATCAGAGTCTGTCGCCATCCAGGAAACTTCCGCCCAGTCTAGGAGCAGGGTTGGCAGAAGTCGGGAGTCTCCAAGTCAATGCCGGATCCGCTTGGTTAATTTCCTTCGTTTTGCCATTATTTTTCCTTTTTCAGAAATAAGTCTTCTACTCTCTTGAACCACCCGAAGTATTATGAAGTTTTGTTTAAACATACTTTAATTAGCTTTTATCTGGCACTGTGATAGTCACCTTTATTTTTCAACCTATCTTTTAATCTTCCTCATTAAAATCTTTTCTACACCAGCCCTATAGTTTTGTGATACCGTGGAAAGTACAGCTTTTGTTGTTGGTGTTGTCCTTCACTACGTATGATTGACCTACAGTGATACATTATCTGCCAATCGTATTCATGGTATTGACTCTTAAAAAAAACAAAAATCCGCTTTGGCCGCCATTTTTATTTTGGTCACTATTAACGCTTTGATATCATCGACGGAAGCCATTTTTCGTTTGGGCAGTTCCTTCGGGCTATTCCAGTACCTTATCCAGGGCTTTGCCGTCATCGTAGGTCCTGGCACTGGCTTCCAACGATGTGAAGTCGGTCGTGCCATCTTATGTTTGGGCGCTGTTTGCGTTCTCAAACGCGCAATGGGACAGTGGGAAACGGGAAGTAAGCCAAAAGCTTCTGAAGCTTGGTCTGCCGCCTTTTTAGTCTGAGTTTTCACATCCAGGTACTAGTCCACCAGTGACCCTGGACAGTAACAAAGCATATAAAGCCCGAACCCACCTCCCGCCACCATCATAGGTAAGAGCGTGATACTTCTGATAACCTAGCTGTTCCCTCAGTTGGACTGAACTGTTTGCCCATCTTATGTACCACTACGTATTTTTGTTTTGGATTTTGGGACTTTCACAATTTTTCTCCTAGGTTTTCCTTCTGTTTCCAGTAGAATTGTTAAATACCAGGGTGTAGGGAGACTGACACTTAAAGGGACAATAATTTTGAGGGAATTCCATAGAATAAAATAGCCAAATGGATGGCATAGCAAATTTTATCGTTTTATCAATTGTATGGCTTTCTGCATCTATAGAGGTAAATCTAGCTCCCAGAGGACTTTAAGATGTGATGTAGTTTGTGTTTGTATATTCTTTTCATTCATTCATTCATTCATTCATTCATTCATTCATTCATTCATTGCATTTGTGGAATATGTAGCTAGCTTTGTGCTGTAAAATATAGAAGTAAACTTAAAAACAAAACAAAATCTAAATCCTTTTTCATTCACTGGCTTTGACATATACTAAGCTGGGACCAGGAACATAATGTTCTCATGTTTCTTTGCACTGCTGGACAAGCAACTTCTTGTTCTCACTTCTCCTATTTCTTGGGTACTGTATATAACCATACTTGTAAGATAACAGGCTAAGATTCGAGTTAGTATGGCCTTGCTGCTTAGGGTAGTTGTCTACCAGCCAAGTCAGCATCTTCTGGGAGCATGGTACTTGGAATGAGTAGAAGTTGCACTTGGGCACAATATAATATTGATCTGGAAACTTTAGACTGTGGCTTACCTTAGCTTTTTGTAGCATGGGTGTTTCTTCTGTGTCTTCCTGCATGAGAAATCAAAATCAGGAGTTGTCAACCTTGGCTGCCATGACAGTCACCTGGGGAGCTTCTAAACCAGACTTCAGACCAGTTGCTGCTAGAAATCGAGACTTTATGTGGAATTTAGATCATACTAAGGTATTTGAGACATTTATGTTTTGCATGCTGTTAGGAGTAAGATTGCTTTTCACCTTCTCTGTTGACTTTCCTTAAAATACCATGGAGACAGGGAGGAATATTGGATTGGGTGTGTGGTGAACCAGCTTCCCAGTGCTTGGTTACCTTGTCAACCAGCTTCCCAGTAATTGTTATTTTGCCATATATGTCTTTTCCTCAGTGTATAAAGTGGGAAAGAAGAATGAACATCATTTGTTTTACTGAGTCTCACATGAATGTTTCCATTGTGGATATGCGTGTTTTATGAGTATGAAGGAAGACATTATTACACTGAAATGTTGCTTGTTTGCAGTTTTTACAATGCTACCACTAAGGGTAGTGATGGAGTGTGGATGGGTAAGAAAATCAGTTCTGAAACTGTCCTCTCTGGCTTCATATCCTACTTCTTTCACTTACCAGCTCTAACTCTGAGATCTAAAAGATAAGTACCTACCCTTTTACTTTAGTTTCCTAACTTGTGAGGTAGGACCCCAGTGAGAGTTGGGTAAGTTAATACAGGAAATGTGCTTCTCCTTAAGTACCTGGCATGGGCTGGACAGATAGCTCAGCAGTTAAGAGCCACGTGCTGTTTTTCTGGAGAACCTGAGTTTAGTTCTTAGCACCTATGTCAGGCAGTTCAAAATTGCCAGTAACTCCAGCTTCTTGGGGACTCAAGGTGTCTGAAGTCTGCTGGTACCTACACTCACATGTCCAAACCTGCACACAGGCATACCCCCCACCCCATATACATAATTTAAAAAAATAAAAATCCTCTAAGACGTACCTGGCATATAGTAACAGCTATGAAAATATCAGCTATAGCTGTTTCATTATATTATAATTAAAAGTTTGGATTATTAAGATTTTATTTATACATTCCTATGACTGAAATTCTTTGGCTTTCCATTTTGTGCATCTACTTGAAAAAGAAGATTGTCCAAATACATTATCCAAAGCCAGGAAGATGAATTTTAAATAAGTTGTTTTTTTTTAAATAAATGTTTCCATTTAAACATAGCCTTTTTTAACGTAAAATTGTGGTACAAATAACATTTATTTAGAATGTACTATGTGGTATGTATACACTGGTGAATCATCATCACAATCAAATAATGAACATATCCATCACCCTGAAAAGTTTGGTCGTGTTCCTTGGTAATTCTACTAGCTGCTGTTTTCTAGGCAACGGATGACCTATCCTATAAACAAACATTTTCTAGATTCTTAGTTCAAAGGTATCTTGTACTACATGTTTTATTTGCGTGGGGTGGGGGAGGGGGATATGTAATGATTTTGAGAACCATCTTTGTTATATTGGTAGCTCATTTCGGTTTTTTTTTTTTTTCTCCTACTTTTTTATTTTGTGGTGCTGTAGATTGAAGTCAGGGCTTAGTGCTTATTAGGCAAGTGCTTTATCACAGAGCTACCACCACAGACTCGTCAGCCTGTTTGAATTGCTAACTGCTATCAGTGTGTGGCTACACAGTCATTGATACAATTCACTAGCTGATAACCATTGAGATTTTGTTTTTAGTGTGCTCATTTTCACGTAACTATATTCTTCTTCAGCTTATTTGCATTGAAAGAAAGTTGTTAAAAAAAGTTATTTAGTGCTGTCTACATACAATGAAACCAGAAGAGTATAGTGGTAAAACATTTTGTGTTGGGATTTTAACTTTCTCTTATATAGTTTATGCCTTATTTTTTTATGAATAAGTTATGACATTTTAAACATGCAAAATGTGTGGCTGGAGAAGTAGCTCGGTGGTAGAGTTCTTGCCTAATATGCATGTGGTCCTGGGTCCAACCTGCAACTCTGTATTTAAAAATAAAACAAACAAGAAAAATCAGTTCTCAGGATTAGACCTTTCACTTGCTGGGGAAATGCTCAATCACTGAGATATTATTCTAGCCACACCCCCTCCCCCAAACACTGTAGTTTTGAAACAGAGTCTTACTAAGTTGCCTAGGCTAACTTATAATTTCTCTCTATCAGTTGATTGAGTAGCTGGGATCACAGGATTGGGCATCTGGATTATTTATTTTTATTCATTTTTTAAATTGTGTATATACATGTGTGTCTGTGTGCTGTTAGGTGTGAGTGCAGGTGCCGGTAGAGCTCAGGACAGGGTGTTGGATCTGCTGGAGCTGGAGTTACAGATGGTTGTGAGTTGCTGAGATAGGTGGAGACTTCACTGATATATGTGTCCAACGCAAGAGCAACAAGGAGTCTTACTACTGAGACATTTCTCTAGGCCTAGGATTGATATGTATATGCCTAATCATTTAATCTGTCCTAAATCTTTAAAGTTTACTATGACTATATTACTTTAGGGATTTTGGACAGTAATCCATGTACATTAGAGACCCAAGAGATATCAAAGAAGAGATTTACAAAGCCAAACCAGAGACATCCCAGAGCTCCCAGAATACCACTAATATTGTAAGGTTTAGTGTCTCTGCTATGGAAAAATGGTCCATCAGTTGCTTTTAATAGTACTGACACCCACTATGTTAAAATAAACCAAAGCTGGCTTAAAATTGGACTTGATTTATGTTACTATGGTGGCAATATAAAATACATCTTTTAAATTATCTTGGATATAAAAGTTAATTTATATCACCATTTTGATTTATTCTATAGAAAAGATTAATGTTCTATAATTAAAATTATTTTAAATTGCCATGCTATAAAAAAGGTTTAGCTTCCTGAGTTTTGACTCATGTGTGGAATTACGTAACCACCACTGAAATCATGCTATAGACCATGTCTGTCACCAGCCTCTCTCTCCTATCCAACAGTTCCCACCCAATTTCTCCAACTATCCCTCATGTCCCTCTGTCCTTCAACCCTTACCAACCAGTGAACCAGTGGTATATTCTCCAATTGAAACAATTTTTGCACAAAAAAAGATTAGATTTTAAGAAGAGTATGTTAATGATTATCAATCAGAATGCCTTTTTGTTTGTTTTAATGAAGGCGATTGAGAAATAGTAATTATCAGAATGGGCTTTAGGTTATAAAGTAAGTTGCATGATGTCTGCTTGTACGTTTATGGGTCTATTCAAGACTAATCATCCATAGAGATTCAGGCACAGAGCCAGTTATTGACATATATGCCCTCAGAGCTACTATTTCATGGAAAGAACACACAGAGTTGAATAGACTCAGGCTGTATGAAAAGGCAGCATTTAGAAGGCTGTGCTTTGCTAGAGTCTGAAGACATGATTGGAGTGCATGAGGACATCTGTGTGTGTGCTTCTGCTAAGGCATCCATGATAATAGATGTGGACTATCTGTTAAGCATCCCTTGCAGGGTTTGCTGGGCTGAAGACTCAGCAGGAAGGGGAGGGAGTTCTAGATCTTGAGTCTTATGATTGGCATGACTGTCGAGTGACAGAAAAGTAGAAGCTGTACTGGGGATTGATCCTATTACAGTATTTCAACATCTGGTCTACATTTAATAACAGAGGAAAGACAAAAAGTAGATTTTTGTTGTTTGAATGATTCTTCCCTTGTTGATGCTTGTTTTGGTTTGTTTTATTCTAAGCATACTAGGCATTCAAGGTTGGCTCCTAAGTCATAGGAACAGCTAATTCTTTTTTATGCTGACGTTGTTTTTTAACGTTTATCTAAGTTGTCACCGGTAAGAGGGTTTTTTTTTTTTTTTTTTTGTTCATCTGTCACTCATTGACCTTTGTTTGTTTCTGGGTATGAGTTTAATAATAACAAAAGTGTGTTCAGTGCAACAGTGATGGTTTTGTATGTTTTTAACTATAGCTGTAACATCAGAAATCCTAGGCCCCTACGGTTTTCTGTTCTCCTCCTGTAGCTAGAGAGCTTTCTAAGATGATAGAAGCACAATCATTTGTTAGATAACATTTGAAATGGAGAGGGTAGAAGCCTAGAGTTAATATTTGGCCTCTTAAACTGGGGTGACTGCTTTGGTAAGCTGTCACACGGGCCAGAAATACTGAAGGAAAGACAAATGAGGATTTTTGCATTGCCCTAGATTTTCCCACAGAATAATCTAGAAGGTCAC